ACTTTCTATGATTCGATGAATATTTCAGTTAGGCCAACTAGCTGAGTAGGCTGCTTGTAAGGGCTTGTGTGCCACAAACATTTATCCTGATGGACAGGCTTCTTTACAAGCTGCAGAAATGTACCAGTAAATCTGCTGAATTTATTTAGGTTCTTTATACTATGTTCATCACCAGGGCTGCAGAGTGTCTTTAAGATGAATAAGAAATGCACCATGATGAGCATATTTATGACGATTGCCCAGTTTAGGCATAATGTTCTATTCTAAATTGCAGACTCATCTTTTCCACTATAAGAAGATAATACTTTTCTTCAACTGCCTTTTGTTAGGAAAGAAAACATGTCTAAATTTCACTGACATTTTAAACACTTGTGCCATCTGCTGGAAACAACTTAGCTCAGCATTGTCCTTTACACAAGACGCAAACACTGTGCCTTCTTTATATGACAGCAAGCTGTCTTTCATAAAGTACTATTTATATATTTTAATTATTATTGGGGTTAAGTGATCTGGGTGCTAAAGACCCTGAACTTCTGCATTTGTAGCTACAACAGGCTATGCTATGGGCAGCAACGTAACCAACTTCCCATGCACCCATGCCTTTTCCACTCAATGGCTTCCACTCTCCTTTTGAAGCAACTGCCTCCTTCAAGGGTTGTTGAAGTATTGCAGGCATCACAGCTCCCAAAGTAACAGAATCTCTGATCCCCTCAGTTCTCCTGGCGTGCCCTACATAGTGTTCAGTTCTCTTGATGTCTTCTGCCTCTGAGTAGGATCCTGTGATTTGCTCCTTTCAGGCTCAGGTCTTGGGCTGCAGACTTGCTGCAATTGCCTCAGTAGATTTGTCAGGTCAACACCAGGGGTTCTGTTGTCCTGGGGACAATGACAGGATTCACCGCTGACCAGACAGCTCTCACATATCAAAGTACTATTCAGAGCAAAATCACATATGAAAAAATAATGAAGCTTATGTTTGTCTAATTTAACAGGGGGGCAGTCATCTTCCACCTCAAGATTCTGATATTGGGCTCTTATCTTAGGCCACTCTGCTTCCTCCATCAGAGGGTCAAAGACTTTTACCTACCCCATTTCAACACGGAAGATTCCTCTCTGCAGGATTTAAGAAGAACAGAAGTATTCTATATCTCACTTGCTACTGTATAAATGTAATGGTATGAGTGGCTATATTCACTTAAAAATATGAAGGTATATAAAAAAAGGTGCGTGTATATATACCTATAAAGATGTATTTATAAGGTGAATATATTCATTTCTGAATGTGTTATCATTTTGTAGTCTCTGTTGTAACAAGTTTTTAGGTAACTGGAGTACTAATGCTCTATATACAAATACACAAAGAGATTTTTTTTCAGGCTTATAGGCATACAATGTTGAATGATTCTGCTCAAGTACACTGTAATTTAGACAGCATGTAAATTAAAGAATAGCACCTTTCCATCTATACTGCACTACTGATTAAAGTATGTGTGTGGAAGGGGGTGGCTTGTGGGTTGGTTTGTTGCTTTCTTATTTGTTTTGCTTGCTACAAAATACACTAAAGCCCACAAATCCTCATAGATTTTGCAACTATCTAATCCAAACTGGGAATTTTTTCCATTTCTCATATAATACCAGTTTACATTACAATTGTTGAGATAATTGTAAAGAAAAGGTTCTAATGTGTTTTCCCTCTTGCATTAGCTAACCAACTCCTACCCTTTTTTTTTTTTTTTTTTTACCCATCGTCCCTGAATCCTAGGAGTAAAAGTTCAATCTGCTGCTTCAGTTTACACTACTTGGAATAGTTCCCTAACAGGCCCCTCTCCCACTTCAGGATCACCTGAGCAGCGTTCTTCACTCCTGCACCAAGACATATCCCCGACTTGGGAAATGTGAAAGAAAAAATGACGTTAAGCTTGCTATGTTGGCTTTACAACACTGGGAAATTTTGTGGAAGGTTTATGCATACCTTAATAAAATGTGAATACAAGCAGTCCTCAACTTACAACATTTCGCACTTACAACGTTTATAAATTGACACCCCGTTTCAACTTTATGACGTCAGTTTTGACTTTACAATGCTTGATCCGATGCCACGCCACACCATGCCAGTGAACAAGTTGGCTGCGTCACTCATCTCCCTGAAGAACATCTGTCCAAACTTCCTTGGACAGTTTCTTTAAGAAAGAAGACAAGACTCCAGAAAAAGCTGCAGCCAAGACTCCTGAGAAGACTCCAGCCAAGAACCCTTCAAAAAGTCCAGCAAAGTCACCTCAAAGAAGTCCTGCCAAATCAATATGATTGCTACTTACAATATAAATACATTAATGTAGCTATATTACTCATCTATAATTGATCAAGTACAAAATTCTGGGATATTTTTGGTGAAAATAGGGTATGGAGCCTTGGTTCAGGAATCAATCCCTCATTTATAACACTGTTTCTTATGAGAAAATTGGTTCTGAGTTACAACGTTTCAACTTAAAGTTGGTTCCTGAAAACCGCATCTTGTCTAGTCTGAGGACTGCCTGTATCCATAACTGTATTTTGATAACACTGTGAGAGAGAGAACTGTAGCACTGCTTTCGTGGTACCATGTCAGTTTAATGTGATAACTCATGCTACATTATGGTATCTCATGTGAAACAAAAGAGTTTCAAAACAACAAAATAACACTTTTGATTTGGCATGATATTCTAACCTAAAGCTGCACGATGACTGAAAACTAGATGATTCACATTTGATATAGTACTCTCCAGATACCATATTGCTGCAAGATGCTGCCATACCCAGATGTAGGACACAGTATTGCAATTGTATGGTGCCATATTAAGAAGTGCTGATCCTTCATGGAGAGAGCAGGATGTCATTTCTCAGTGGAATTGCATTGATTTTTTGCAGTGACACATCAAACTTTCCAGAATGCAAGAGTGCTGCAGCCTCTTGGTCTGTGTCTGTCTGGCCTTTTTGCCATAAATTTGATCGCTTCTGCGGGCTCTCTGCATTACATAAGAACAGACCTGCCACCCTGGGTCAGACCAAAGGTTCAGCTAGCCCAGTAGCCTGTCTCTTAACAGTGGCTAATTGTGTCCGGCTCTAGCAGCAGCAAGTAATAGAGAAAGGATAATAAGAAATAGGGCAGGTGGAGCAGAATAGTCTGTCAGACCCTCTCAATTAGCAACAGGTGGAGGGATATCTCCCAGCTTTTTTGAACACTGTCAACAGCTCAGGGTAACAAGTACTGGAAGCATTGATTGCCATTCCCTTGCTGCCAAATTTCCAGACCCTGGGGGAGCACGTAGGCTGGATTGTGGGCCTGTGCAGGGGCAGAGCCAGGGGTACACTGGTGTGTTCATACCCCTCTTTGATTCCTGCCACCCGAAGTTTAAAACCAGCAGTGCTAGTGAGTAGGGCTATGCAAAATTTTGCCAAGTGTTTCGTTTTCAAGCCATTTTGATGTGTTTTGAGCTCAAAACAGCTGAATTGAAATGAAACAAAAGGCTCTGAAACAGCAAAATTAAAACGAAACAATGGCACTTGAAACATTTCAAAAGTTTCAAAATGTTTTGAGTTTTGAAGCTGGGCTAACTTGGCTTCAGCGCTGGTCCCAGGCAGCAGCAGCAGCCTCCTTTCATCTAGGGCGCAGATCTGTGCACCTGCCTGCACCCCCAGGAGGAGTCCAGCACAGCCCCGCGGCCCTTCTGGGGTTGCGGGACCCAGATGAGAGGAGGCTACCACTACCGGCAAATGTCACGAGTTTTGCTTTGAACAGTTTGAGGTGGTTTCCCAAAAACCCTTACACCTATCTCCTTGAAACATGGAAGGCTTCATGCCCTGAGAAAGGGCTACCACCCCAACAATTTTCATCCAAATCAGGCAAGAAATGACAAAATTTAGGAATTTTCATGATTCCCCATTATAGCCTATGGGCGAAACGTCAAAGCGCGTTGAAACAGTGAAACAGTTTTGACAAAAGGAAATGGTACAGCGCTTCAAAATGACAAAACAAAACACTGTCCCTTTGAAATGTTGAAATGCGTTGAAACAGCAAAATGGTTTTGATGAAATGAAATGGGACAGTGCTTCGAAACAAACACTGTCCCTTCAAAATGTCGAAACAGTTTCGACAAAATGGAACAGTGCTTCGAAACAGAACTATTAAATGAAACGCTGTCCCTTCGAAACACGTTGAAACAGCAAAACAGTTTTGACGAAACAAAATGGAACAGCACTTCTAAATAAAACGACAAAAGAAACACTTTCTCTTCAGAACGGCGAAATGGGCATCGAAACCATACAGTAGTCAGGCCGTGCAGACCCAGGCCCTTCACTTTGCTCCTCCCCATTTACTGCATCCCTGCCAAACCCCTGCTCCAGGGTGCTCCCCACCCTCCCTCTTCCTCAGGCTCTTGCTCCCCCCCCACCCCCGGGGCCCAGCCTTGGCTCGGGTCCCTCCTCCTGGGGAGGAAGCTGCTATTTCCCAGCTGTTCTGAGCTCATTCTGGGGAAGAGCTGTTGGTTTCTACTTCGGTCAAACTGCAGACCCCCGGCCTGGGCCTGGTTTGTTGTTCACGGGAGAAAAAACGAGTGTTGCTGCATGTGAGAAGGACTCCCCTTCCCCGGCCTGCACCGTGTGCTCCTAGGTCTGACCCAGGGCCGCCACCGGGCGGGGTCGACATGACACACCTCACGGCTGCCAAGCGCTGCAGGGCTGCCTGCAGCGGGGGACAGGGCCCGGGGAGGCCCCACCCACAGGTGGCGGCGGCCAGGTGCGGGGGGCGGGGCAGCGCTGAGGGAGGCCGCTCGCGCGAGGGGGCGGAGTCAGGAAGAAAGGGCGGGGGCGGGGCCAGGCCTCGCCTCTCCTCTCGCCCCCTCCCCTTTCCCCAGTTGCCATGACAGCCGTGAGGTTTCCCTCTCCCCCGCCTCACACCGCGGCCCCAGCGGCCCAATGGGGAGGGGGGGAAGGGGTGGGGACTCGTGGGCACCGGAAGGGGCGTGGCGCGGGCGCCGGAAGTGGGTGGTGGAGCCGCAGGGTGTGTGTGCGTGTGAGGGAGCGCAGCGGCTGCCGCGCTCGGAGCCTTCCGACCCGCCCGGCCCCGTGTTCCCGGTGTGAGCCGCCGCTGCCGCCCGCCGCCAGG